TCCAGGTGGAACTAAAGTCTGATTTAAGACTTGATTATATTTCACATCATTCATCCACATCTGTAAAGTAACTAAAGGGATTAAATACATGTAGTGACAGTATGAACGTTCTCCTGTTGTGATTGTCTAATGTTTTAACAACCAGTATTATGTTTACCTTCATGAGTGGCTGTCCACTGTGAGACACACCTGCAACCATGTCGTATTTCTACGATATGAAAACATTTTTTTTATATTTAACATGGCCGCTTGTAGGCATCCTGAATGCTCTCATCGAAAGGCAAACTCCATAAGTTCCTCATTAATATCTTCCTGCTCACAATAAAGATTATTATCATAAAACAAACTCAAGCTGGACTCATTTACAACATGCTGGCGTCACATCTGTCTGCCCTGTGTCACAGCTGCAGCTAAAGCGCGGCACACGTTAGTCACATTAGTGTAAATCCGTCACACCCAACACCTCAAGAGTGTAATTATGTTAACAATGAGTCTCACCTTTTGATGTGAGCGCGTGCCTGCAGTCGTGTGTTTTTTATGTCTGGGTTAGACGTAACCCGTTCTAGACGACCTGACTCAGCTCTGCTGTGTTTTCACTTCCACCTCCCGTGTGCAAAGTACCCTGATTGTGACTTCATTCGCGAAAGGTCACTTGGTCACATACCTGTTACAGAGCATGCGCTAAATCCATAGACTGTATTAAAATCAGGCTGTATCATATTGTGCAATGCTTTAACATTCCACACCGCAGTGATGGCAAAGGTTAGTGATAATAATGTGTGACGTGCAGCACTTTTACTCAGTGTTTTCCTTTGTGATTGATACTGATTTGATCATAAATCATTACATTACATGTCACTTGTTAGACGCTTTTATCTAAAGTGACTTACTCACTACGGGCAACCTGAGCAACCTGGGGTGAAGTGTCTTTCCCAGGGACACAACAACATACATGATATTGGCTTTTACTTCATATTTACTGACTGCAACGGTGTATTTGCTAATAGGCAAAACAATCTTATTCTATCTATAAAATCTATACAACATTTATTTGTATTTTTGTCTGTCTTTAAAAAGCACTAAAAGCGACACTTGTTAAGAAAATATATCAGATGAAATGAAGAGTTGGATGTTTTTGGGTTGTAATGTTTCATAATAATACGTGAACTCTCTCAATTCCTTAATGATATATAAAGAAAATATGTTACGTTGTATGTTCTTATTGTCTGGCCTCAAGCTTCCTATAGCTTATTGGGGTGTCCCATTTCACATGTCTCCATTATGTCTCATGATTTTTTTAGTTTAACTTGTGAATAAATGATGATGATGATGATGATGATGATGATGAAATCCATTATTAATCTAATTGGATAACAATACTGAAAAAATGAAAATCAGCCACCCTCAAAACACCTTCAAGCTGTACCAAAAACCTCATTCTCACTTGTCAAAAATGAGTAGTTTTGGGAGTAACCTTGACTTATTCTAAGCAGAATATTCCCTCCGGAGAACAGGCGCCCACTTTCTCCTGACGAACACACTGATACGTAGGAGTTTATGGTAAAAGTCTGAGACAGATGCAGTGTGTGACACGGTGACTCAGCCTGTAGGCGGCCTCTCCACCGCGTCAGAACACTTCTCCAATCTGTCTGGAGCGAGAGCAGACTGCAGCCCATCCTCAAGTTTCAATAGACGCTCGGACATCACACACACACATACACACACACACATGTACATATACACACACACACAATGAGCTCTGTCTCTCAACTGGAAACACTTCATTTCATGCCTTGGATTTAAGCAACCACGGATTCTTGCTCCATATGAGGAAGAAAGTAAGTATAATTTTATTTCTGTTACAGCAACAGTTTGTTGTAAAAGTGTATTCAGTGATGCAGCTGTATTATATGGTTAAATAACAGAGAGAGATGTATGTTTGAATATTCTTCTTTATTCTTACAATATATAAATGTACAATCAGAAAAATGATCTCACAGTGTTTCTTTTTTCAGTGTTGAATACATCGTAGTGAAAAATGTGTGAATTTAAGACATAAATACATCAGTGCTTAAATATCTCCATAGTATCTAAACATGCAGTGTAAAAAATAAGAATAACTCCTCTAAGAAAACCTCAGTATTTCTTTTAATAGTGATAAATGTGTCAATTAAATATATAAATACATCAGTTCTAAACGTGTTAAGAGGTAACAGTCACTGCTGGTGTTGTAGTAATAATAATAATAATAATAATAATGCATTTCATTTATATAGCGCTTTTCAAAACACACAAATCTTCACACAGTCGCACGGAAAGCACACAGTAGCCTACTCTCCTGAAAGGGGAAGAAAAGAGAAAGGATTTACTTTGACTCAATATATCGAACAGAAGAGATTGTGTGTTCCCAGACGTCCATCTGCACGTTCATTTTACAAGGATGGAAAAGTCCTTTGAAGCCAACACTCACTCCGGCAACTTTGAAGCGCGATTCATCAGATTCAACCTCATTGCATGCTTTTTGCATTTGATACCTTAAAGTCTTTCAAGTGGCTAATAATCAAAGCAGATGTCAAAAAAACGTCCGTGCATTTGGTCCTGCAGTGTGTTATTATTTTATTACCATTCAGGCGTGAAATGAATCAACGGTCTAAATTGTTTTTATTTTGGACTGGGGTTGTAACTAACTATTATGTATTTGATCAGTTTCATTGATGATTCATTTGCCTTAGCTAATGTAAAAAAACAGCAAATGGAGGAGAATGTCTGGCTTTTTTTGCTTTAAAAATTCAAAAAACAAGTGGTATTACTTTTGGACAAATGTATTTATCGGTGCTTGTCTCGTTCAGAAATGAAAAGCAGAGAATTTGGTATAATTTAAAAGTCCTACTACAGTATACCAAATCCTCTTTGAGTAAGAAATTGCCCTTTTTTGTTTTTTTTACACATAATATATGACATTATTTGCACATGTTTTCATATACCGTTCATGTTGTAATGGAAATGATGGTCATCAAAGAGTTGACTGCTATGATGTTGTGTATATAAAAATATTCTGTAATCCTTAAATGTCAAAAGAAATTACTCACAATAAGGTTAGTTGAAAGCAATAATATTAACCTATTATTTAACCTTATTGTGTTGACATAAAACATTTAATTAAAGTCAACCTTTCAGTTTTTTCAGAGCATTAATTTTCTTCTGTCTTTTAGATCTTGAAAGCACCTTGTCTCCTCTTGAGTCTGTTCGCAAGTTTAAATCTCTGCTCCGGAAAATTTGGGACGCCGATTACTGACGATGTGAGCAAGCTATCATTATTGGTGAGTATACAGGGTTGATGCATATTACCCATACATTCATATACATGTTTCTAGTGTTTGTATTTAACCCCACACAAATCTTTCTGTCATCTTCTCCGCTGTAGAAGCAGAATATCCCCTCTGATTATGAGATTCCTGTTAGTTACATTCCCAAAGAAGTGGTGAGTATCTAAGGAAGTGAAAGAAGGAATAATGTCAAACAGATTATTAATGATTGAACAAACAGTGATAATGTCTTTGGTACACATCTGCAGGCTGGCACGTGCTGGGTCGTGTTGAACATCTATCCTTTGGAGCAGAGTCTAAGGAAGCTAGCCAACATGTTTGGCACCATTTCCTCCAACAAAGAAAACGTAGTCGTCTTCATCGCGATGCTGAAGAGTTTACGCTTCACCTTTGACCATGAGGAGCTCGTAAGTCATTGGAAAGGATTGAGCTCAGTTTTAGGAAGTCATATTTTGCACATTCAGGGTCTGTTTTGCACATATAATTACATAATTGAGGTTTATCAGAGCTGCTTGTTGTGCTGTTGATCCCCCAGGAAACTGCGATGCAACTCTTCCAGTGTCACTATCAGGAAGGGAGCTTGACGTCGGGCCTTTACTTTGACTACATCAAAGACGTCTTACATGCGGCCTCCAAAGGAACATCCGGTTTCTCGTGCAAGCCACCACCATGCCTTAATTCACAACAAAAACCAGGTACACGGTCATGCATTTGCATTTGTAATGGCTTCCTCAACAACTAAAGAAGCTTAGTGGCCTATTTGTTGGCAGATATTGATTCTGTGGTCAAGAAAACACAACTGGGGATAGGAACCGGATATGTAAGCTAACCCTGAACACACAGGTAATTAAGCGGTTATAGGGTCATAAAAGCCTGCTAAGTGTGCTTTTACACCATGCATTTGTCAACGTGAGTCTTTTTGAGAGACAGAACCACTTGAGTCCTTGATGCTAGTTCAATAAAAAAGCATGAAGATGATTAGCAACCTGATTTGTAAGCATACCTGTCTACCCAGGGAAGCGTCAGAGAATGAATGAATGAATGTTTATTTTCATATATCATTTGCCAAGACTTGGAAGGAAAGGGGTAATGTATGTATGTGTGAGCAATAACGTGTAGATTTGAGTGGACTGTAAACGGAGGTGGGTGTGATTTGTGTATGTACATCTTCATGTCTGTTATATATTTGTGGAATAAAAAATAAATAAATAAATAAAAGAAAGATGATTGGCATAGTCAGGGTCAGATTTCTAAATATATTATTTTGTTCCAGGTGGTCAGCGGGAGGGTCGTAAGTACAGCTGGTCCAACAGATATCCACTGCTTCTGGCTCTCATCCCCTTCACAGCTTGTGTTGTCATCATAGTGTGGCTGGTGAGTAATTATTCGGAGTGGATTAGCTACTTTATGAAACGTGAAAATTAGTTTTCACTTTGTATG